CCCCCCCCCCTTCCGCGAAGAAATCTTAAAGTGGAGTCCAACACTTGAAGTGAGCGGCATCTTGATGAAGCGCGGGCATGTCTGCATGCCGGTGCGCTTTGCATCCCACCTCCATCTGTGCATCGGCTGCAAGCAGTTAGAGGGCGATGCCGGTCATCGTCGCTGCACCGCACGGACCCCGACAGACACCATGGCCCCACTGTAGGTTGCCCTCTCCTTTCTACTACATGGCTCGTACGTGTAGACGCGGTCATGTCGCTGCTTCGTGCTCTGCAGAGCAGCGGTATCCTCACCGACCAGCACTCGCATCCTCCCGCCCCGCGCGGCACCGTCCGACTCGTTCCGCAGGCGCTGACCTCTGATTTCTCTCTCTCGCCATCCGATCGTACCTCTGTCGAACCCTGTGCCATCTCGCCCTCGCCCTGCAGACGCGACAACCTGATCGTCGGCACGCGCGTCATCATTGCGCAGGACGCCGACCTTCGCGGCGAGATCTCTGTCGGCAGCGGCACCGTGATCCACCCCAAGGCGACCATCCTGGCGCTGCAGGCACCCATCTCGATCGGCTCGGACTGCATCATCGAGGAGACCGCGGTGATCGTCAACCGCACTTCCAACCCCATCAAGATCGGCGATGCCAACCTGTTCGAAGTGGGCTGCCGCATCGAAGCCGCCTCCATCGGCTCGTACAACGTGTTCGAACCCCGAAGCAAGGTGGCACACAACGTTGCCATCGGATCGAACTGTGTGGTGGGCGCGGGATGCACGCTGCTTCCGCGGCCCATCACCGACGACCAACTGGCGAGTCTGTTTGACGACGAGGACGATGCAGCCAAGTCAGCGGTGGGATCGACGTCAGAGCAGAATAGGGAGGCAGACACAAACGACGGACAGGAGCGAGTGTTTGAGACGCTGCCGGATCGTACGGTGGTGTACGGGAGCGACAGCCGGCGACGAGTTTGGAGCGGCGAGGGCGCACACCAGCAGGCGGCGCTGCATGCCAAGCATCTCGAGTACCTGCGCGACACCATCCCGCGCACGCACAAGCTCAAGATCATCCAAGGCGTCCGAGCCCCTCCTCCCACCAACACCGCTGCATCATGAATCCAAGGCCGTGTCTCAAAGCCATGCATGCTCGAATCGTGTGTGAGAGCCAGCTCGAGCTGAACCGAACGGGGCGCCACTTTAACAAATGTCGAGAAAAATTCAGCGTGTTGGGGGGATAAGCGGCCCGATTTGGCCGATGAGATTGAAGCCTCTTTTGACTCGAACGGAAGTTGGGGAGCGCGGCGGGAAGAGAGGCCCAACGGGTTGCGAGCACAGACTCCTGACTCTTTTGGTGGGCTTGTTCATCACGCCCCCCCACTCGCACTAGCTGTTGACCACCATCACGTTTGCGCACCCAGCCGCTTTCTATCGTTACCTCCCGCAACTCTACTCTTTTTCACACACCACCTCGGCAATACTCAAGATGGCGTCGGCAAGCGGATCCCGATTCCAGGCGTTTATGAACCACCCCGCCGGTCCCAAGACTGTGTTCTTCTGGGCGCCTTTGATGAAGTGGTGTCTCGTGGCGGCTGG